GGACATTTCGTAAAATATGATTTGATGTATGTATATTCACCTAAATTTTGATTAATATATAGTTGGAATATTAACATCATTAGGAACCGCTTGGCAATATGTATAACCTCTCCTACTTTATGAATATGTTAAATGTAATTTTTCTTGTATGCATATCTAATTATTAAGTTGAACATGAATATGTTAAATGTAATTTGTCTTGTATACATATATAATTATTAAATTTTCAACGCAATACATTCTAACAGAAATTAAGCTTTATGTTTTGCGCATTCTAAATAATGAATACAAACTTACATTATCACCAAGTGGCTCTTGGTCTAGTGGTTTCTTTCTCATTAAAAATGAGAAGAAGTCCTTAGTTATTGTCTAGTTGGGAGGAGGAAATATTTTCAAAGAAGAAATATTTTCAAAGAAAATAGATTAAAAGCTACTTCTGGATCCACAAAAATTAGGATTTAGATCAGAACTCGAAAGTTTTAAGAAAAAGAAAAAAAGGTTAACCTTCTCTATATGACATCGCGAAAATGCGTAGTTGGATATATGTAGGAAAAAATATACATTTATCGTCGGAATAAATTGCAGTGACTTGGGACAGACGAGTAATGTTACTATTCGTAATTCAAATTTTTTTTTTCTATTGAAAAGTAGTATTTTTTTGAAAACAAAATTAAAAAAAGGCGATACAGTACTTGATATAACTTTTTCTCATTAGATTTTTTTTACGGTCGGGGTACATGCATGTATGGGCAAAAAAGGAAAAGAAAGTAGATGGGCCAATACTACAGTACAGTTCACAAAACAGTAAAAAAGTGTGGTTTTTATTTTGGAACAATTACAAAAATACCACTTTTTGTATGCACATTTGTAAGAATGTTATTTAGGGATGTTCATTTACAAAAATACCACTAATTATAGATTTATAAAATCTATATCTTAAAATTCTAAACCCTAAAAAATGTTTTGACACCTAAAACCTCCTAAACACTCAAAACCAAACCCTAATAAAATATAATCAACACAAATATAAATAATATATAAAAAATTTTTTTTTGAAAAAATGGCATTTTTGTAAAGATTTCAAAAATGTGGCATTTTTGTAAAGAGGCACTTGAAAAGTGACATTTTTTGAATTTTTTTTTTTATTTTAACATAAAGTGTGGGCTTTTTAATGGTTTGGATTTTGGAAACAAAAGGTTAAGAATTGGTCAAGGTTCGAAAAAAAATAACAAAAAGTGTGAACGGCAGGATTCGAACCTGCGCGGCACAAGATCACACGATTTCTGGTCGAGCCCGATACCACTCCGGTAGGGGTGAAATTATTATCCGGGATCCGAGATCCGATCCGTTATCTGCTCGGAATCGCTCCGAAAATTAGAATATCTGGAGAGCCCGTATCCGGATAGCAAAATTTTAAGGTCCGGATATCCGGATCCGGATTCGGACGCATTAAATATATTAAAACCATATATATTATATATCTATTAAACTAATTTTATATAAATAAATATATATAAAAATTGATTTGAGTTCTTTTTATAATAAATTATATTTATAATGAAAAATACCATTTAAAATATTAACTAATAATTTTTAAATATATATATTTTTTATTTATTAATTATTTTAATTGTTTTTAATATTAATTTCGGATCCCGATCCGGATCCGGATCAGGATATCCGCGGATATCCTGATTTTTGGAAAAATTCCTAGAGCCCGGATATCCGGAGGTCATGATTCTGGATCCGAATAGTTTTTTCACGGATCTAACGATTCCAGATCCGGATCCAGATACTCTGAAATTCCAGGATATCCGGAATCGTCCCACCCCTATACTCCGGCACGTCCATTTCTTGTTC